CGCTCCAGGTTGGGAAAGAGCAACGCTGTATTAGAGTCACTGAAATTTTGGAGGGCACTGTGAGAAATCTTGAAGAGCACTGTGAAATTCTTTTGGTACCAAATTGTACATCTCACTCGTGCTGTCTCTTACAACGCCTCCAGAATGCGCACATCGCTCATCGCTTCAAAGGGTATCGTCTCGCTCCCCACACCTTGCAAAGCCCACTTCAGGGTCTTCTCTACCGCACGCCTACCTGTGTGCTCAAGTGGTAGCCTATATAACGTTAGCATATGTTTCCTCAACACGGGTATTCGGGCTGTCTCACCAATGGCCTGCACCCTTGATAATCACGACCTGACTTCCCTTGACCAGATAGTCGCGAGCGTTGTCAAATGAGAGCCGTTGATTGAATGCAGGTTCAAGTTGCCCCATCATGAGTGTCGAAGGGGCCTTCAGCGCGCCTTGTGGTGCCATGCTGGACAGGGTGCCTGATGCAGACAGGGTCTGCGAAGAAGCAGCTTCAGAGGAGATGTTGTATAGTGCGGCAGTGACCTCGAGCGATTTCTCCCACTTGCCGAAAGCGAGGCTGTCGCGATAGATGCGGATCTTCTCGGACATGCCGCGATCGCCTATCCTGCTCTTGACAGACTCGCCGTATCGTTCACCCTTGTCGTTCGCTTTGTCTAGCTGCGCACTTCCGGGGCCAGTAGAGATTGCCATTGCTTCAGCAGCTTCAGTAGGTTCCAAGACAGTAGGGGCCTTGCCCTTCTTCGGTGTGCCTTTGCCGAACTGGTGGAGAACACGCAGGAAGAAGTAGTTGCCAAAAGTCGCAAAGACGTTGTGAAGAGGCCAGGGTAGATGGAATACGAAGATGTAGAAAGAGCTTCGGAATTGTCCAGCCACAGGGCCTAGTGCGTGTAATCCATTCTTCAACAGGCGGAAGTTGAACGGAGAGTGTATCCATGTCCTCAGCATTTGCTTCGCCAACAGAATCCTGTTCGTCGCGTTCGAGTGTAGTAGAGCGGTGATGGTGCCGCCTGTGATGATCCAGTGGTCAGCCAGGACATGTGCCTCAGAAGCCAGCCGGCCAGCAATGACCGCACCCCAGTCGTGTGACACTACCACTACCTTCTTGCCTTCCGACAAGAATTGCTCTCGTATGCCAACAATGAACTCGCTCAAGACCTCGAGCATTTCGTTCGGGCCGTATGCGGACAGACTGTCGGAGCCGCCATAGCCAGGGAGATCGACGGCTATCAAGATGGAGTCCTTTTGTAGGGAAGCGGATTGGAGGAGGTGGCGCCAGATGAGGTAAGAATCGGGGAATCCTGGTCTTTGTTAGTCGCGTAGTCCATTAAAGTTTGGTACCTGCATGACTCTGCCTAATACACACCATGTAAGAAGATGGTAACGTTCTTCGCTGGTGATGTTCCAGTGCCTTGGTTAGCGACATAGTGAAGACGGGTACCGTTGGTGGTCTTGTAGAAGGCATGCTTGAAACCTGGCAGAGGCTCTCGGTCAAGGCTCCAGAAACTCTCTTGCGCAGCAGCCAACGCGCGCTTCTCCTCGTCCGTATCTTTCGCCCAGAGTGCTCCGTTCTTGATGACTGCCATGGTCCATACTCCAGCAAGGCTGAACAGTCCAAACCCAAGTTTGAAACCGCTCCAGGCCAGACTCCCGAGTTTGTCTGCCATGTTGGCGTTTTGGCTGGACGTTTGTTGCAGTACAGCTCTGCTCAGTTGTCTGTAGATTAGGCACTCAATGAAAGGTCGTGCGCATGTGTTGGTGGTGGTTGTAGTTGAGCGACGGTCCCGTCACATGTAGCGCGAAAGTAAAGTTGAGAGAGTGCGATCAAAAATCAAGGTTGGCTGGTATCCACCCCCGCATGCTGGAAGCAAGAACATAGTCCTAACTGTAGCGGTAGCCCCAGGGGCAGATCGCGATGGCGAAGCAGATGACCCGCGAAACCACGCGGCAGAGACGATCAAGGGTCCTGTGTGTCCATGGAAGCTGCAGTGATGATCGTTGAGGCATGACGTTATTGGCCATAGCTTCTGCTATGCCGCGGGCTGGAGTAGTCTGATCGGTCGAGTCGCTTCGTCCCCCGGTTCAGGGTGCAGTCGCTGGTCGCCTGGGCACCGGCTTAGGGCGATGCGCGTGCTCTGCGCATCATTTAATTTATGCTTGAGTTGTCACCACGGAGAGCTGGGATATCGTGGGTCTACTCATCTATCTACTAGATTATACGCGCAATGCTCGTACGTTGTCAATGGCAATCATGGTTTTGGCTCTTAGATAGGAACAGCCATAGTCGGATCTCTGACGTGTGCGCATCGCATTATTCCAATGTCGAGAGGTCCTGCCCCAATATGCACAAGAGCTCGCTCACCTGTGACTCAACCCTGCGCCCCCAATAACTTTGACATTCCAATGTCGGGTATCATAACAACTCCCACGTAATCTCGCACAAGGACTCCAACGTCCACAGGCACAGTAACTCTCAGGTCTCATCTTCTCTTCCCCTTGACCCTCTCCATGACCCTCAATTCGGCACTCCTCTGCAGCCTCAGATCCTCCAACTCCCTCTCAATACCTCTGTTCTTCTCTACAAGCTCTTTCCTCTTCTCCATCCTCTGCTTAGCCTCCTCCAACTTGTGCCTCACAACATCCTCCACCACCCTCTCCAGCTGCCCCGCATCCTCGATGCCATGCTCTCTGATGAAGCGGTCCGCGAATTCTTCGATAGTGTGTGGTGATGGTCCTGGACCGCCTGTATGATATCCGTTTTGATGGGTCATGTAGAGCCCCGGCACGGCGGAAGGATGTGTACGTAGGTGGGAGGAGAGCGAAATAGGCAGTTGCGATGCGGAGATTGTGGGAATCTCGTCTGAAGGCTTTCGTGGCGAGGGCTGGGGTGGTGGGTTGAGGATGATTTCCATGAGACTGTTTTCAAACGCCTCGTCGTATTGTACTGTGGATGGCGAGAAGTCGACCATGGGGGATGTGAGTTCGGGCTCGTCGCGTGGTGTGAGGGGCGCGTTGCCCATTATCGTGTCGTGGTTGCTCATATTGACGTCTTCGCGGTTGTAATTAGCCATGCGACGCGTGATGGAGAGAAGCCAGGTGTTGCGATCCGAAGTTTGTTGAATTGAGGGGATCCGTCTCGAGGCTGTCGCGATGATGGGGCTGATGCCGCATGACTAAGCCCAAGTTCCGCAGCACCTCCGCGGTCGCGACTTGCCCAACTTTTGCCCACCAAGCCTAACACCACCCCATTTGCACATCTCCAAACAACCGATCGAACTCCGTACACATCGCAATTATGGCCGACAAACTGCGCGCGCAGCAACAACTCGAAGCTCTCCAGGCCCGCTACATCGGTATCGGAAGCGCAGACACTACCAAGCACGAGTGGACATCCAACATCGCGCGCGACTCGCTATCGAGCTACGTCGGCCACCCGCCTCTTCTACAGTACATGAGCATCGGTCTGGGACAGCCGCGCGAAAAGACCCGACTACAGTTACTAGAGCGCATGGTCAGGCCTGTCGGGCCTCCGCCTGAGGTGAGTGACGGGTATGTTAGGTTTTAGAAGTAATGAGCTAACAGAACGCAGCAACAAGATTGATCGGGAGACTCTAGAACGAAACGACAGACTTGATTATGGAGACATGCGGAGAACGAAGATCCAAAGCGAAAGCGAAAGCCGCCTTCCATCCCCAGCACGAATGCGCGCGAGGCCGGCTCGTGGATGAAGAGGAACAGATGGGTACATGCTGCTTGTCTATGGCTATTAAAGCCGATACTATGAAGTCGTTCAGTAGCGTAGCGCACGCTGAGTGCCGGTAGTGAGGTGTACACACCTCGGCCTCTCTCAAGATACCCCAATTGCCACAATAATCGGGGCCCAAAGTCTTTCTCCAACTCGTGCTCTCCTTCTTGTGACTTCTCAATCGCTATCACTAGCGCTTCCTGTTGGGCCATCATCGTCGTCGTCTTCCACCACATCACCGCCCATTAGCATCGAGACTTCACCCTTTTGCAGCATGCTCTTCAGCTCAGTGTTCCTCGGGTCCACCAACTCAACGGGCTTGAGCTTCGCCTTGTTCCTTATTCTCGGGTCGCATCCGGCATCTAGAAGCATGGCCACGATGGAGTGTCCGTGGGGCCAAACGGACTTTTCGAGCGAGTTGACGTAGCGTACGGCTTTGTGAAGGGGAGTATCCTGCTCCATGCGGTCGATCTCGTCGATCTCAAGACCCTCTTGGTCGAGAAGCATGTCGATAACTTCGACTATGGGAAAGTCAGTCAATTCATGCCCTAGGTTGCGACAAAGACGTCGTGGTGCTGCGCCGCTTGGGACAGATACTTACAGCTTCCGTATGTTGCCGCGACATGAAGACAACCATTACCCACGCCGTCGCGTGTGTTGTTCAATGTTTCGGCGACATGATCCTCTGGCTTCTTCCCTGATTTTGAGGCAGCAGCAGCAAGGTCTTTTAGGGTTTCCTCAAGCAGCTCGGTGTTGTTGCGTCGGCACGCTTCGAGGACGAGTTCGCGGGGGGAAGCACCCTACATGTTGGTCAGCAGTGGCAGGCGCTGGGTATGCATGTGTATGCACCTCTTCGTCCGCCATGGTGTGTGGTGTTGAGGATGCGGAGGGTGACTGGGCAGCGACAGGCGGTCCAGTCAGGTACGCGTGAATGTTTCGAGCTGTGGTTTGGCGGGGTACTCGGAGGTGCTAACGGAAAGCGAACAGGGCAGGGCGGTGTGAAGAAGTGAAGTATCTCTCTAATACGGCGATAAGGATGCAGGCGACGTCGACAGGCCAGCGTGCATAAGCCCCAATCTGAGACAGTCCGCTCCCAAGTGCGCGTCCCCGGTGGCTTTTCGCTGCTACACCCTCGCCCCGCACTTTGCCGTTCCCAGCCCTAGCGGCTCAGGGTCCGTCATAACTTTTGATCTTCTTCGCGCTCAGCTTCACGCGTCTGACTAACTTTTTCCCACTGTCGCCCACCATGTTGCTCTGTAAGTCCCAGACTCACACACCCTGATGGTCTGCTTGTACCTGCTACATGGCCACCATTACAGTTCCACGTCCCAGTCCAGTCACCGCTAACAGCCACAGTTTGCCCAACATGCAGCAATATGCTGCGCGTCTCCAAAGTACCTCCCGGCGATCCTACCACCGAAGATGCTGTTGGCCAAAACCGTTTCGAATGCCTTACCTGCCCCTACCACTTTGTCATCAACAAACGCTACTACGAGCGGAAATACCTAAAGAAGAAGGAGGTCGAAGACATCTTGGGTGGAAAGGGCGCCTGGGATAATGTGGACAAGACGGAAGGTACGCTCGGATACTTCAGCAGCAACCATGCCCTAAGATTGCGCGATCTTGGGCGAGGCTGCTATTCCTCTTGGACATGGCTGACAAGTGCACAGTACAATGTCCGAATGAGAAATGCCGGAACCACGAAGCATACTGGTACCAGCTGCAGATTCGAAGTGCCGACGAGCCTATGACTGCTTTCTACAAGGTACGCCACATATCCGACTTCCTCAAAACCCCCACTGACCTGTCCCAGTGCACCCAATGCGCGAAAGAGTGGCGAGAATGATCTGCGAGTCCTGTTCAAATATCCAAGGAGTTTGGAAGCGGAGTCCTTGCTTTTAGTATACCCCGGTTGCGTTTGGTGAATTAACTCTATTGTCTCTCTTGACTTGCAGGTGCCCAGTCACTGTGAAAGGCTCAGGATACAGATTTGCGACATCGAATCGGGTTCGTCGTACCTATGATTGCTACCTCATAAGCATGCCGATGCATCTCCATCAACGACAGCGCGAACTATGACTAGGCCCCGGTTTGGGTCAAAGGCGCATTCTGCACTGGCTGGCCCGTGTCGCAGCGTGGACGACCTCGCGAAGTGGCGCGTATTCATACCTATTCCTCTCTCTCCCATCATTGCTTTCGGACCTCTCGCAAAAGCATGCAACTATCTCCCGGCTCTATTGAAAGGCCTTGCCTCATCAACCTTCATCACACCCGCAAGCCCTACTTACCATCGAGGTCGGCAGTCTGTGCTAGGATGATGGCTCAAGCTGCCGACAAAGAAGAACCAGTCATACCATTTTCTCGGTCATTCCACGCCTGGGCGCAACTTCCCGATGAGCTCAAGTGCGAAGTCCTCTCGCACAACCTGACTCTGGATGAAAGAATCGACAAGACGAAACACGCCCAGTTTCTACAGTCGGACCTGTTTCCACTCTTGGCCACGCGCAACCGTCATCTAGCCAACATCGCACAAGAAGTATACTACAAAAGGAACACCTTCGAGCTTTGTATCGGTCGCCGCATGAAGACAGGGGACGTCGAACTTAGCAAGGACTATTCATTTCCTCCTGAGAACCGCATCAGCGGTCTCTGGTGTCCCAAGGTACATGCGGCTGCCATGATACGTCATCTGCATATTGTGGCGATGAACTGCAAGGTCGGTATAGAAAAGGGACTTATATGTGCCTCGCACTCGACGAGTTGGATGTACCTCATAGATCTACCTCCCCAAGACTATTGGATTAGCGGTACCAAAGATAATGCACCTCGCGCAAATATAAACCCTGAATGGCAAGAACGCTTCGTCAACCTGCATACCCTTGGGATCGACTGGCGTCTTGAACGCGATATTATGCCCGCATGCTTTCTCGAGGATGGCATAGGAGACATGTTAAGAGCTTGTATAGAAAAATCTGGGATACGTCTCCGGGCACCGAAAGTGGAGTTTACGGTGCGTGATACTTACAATAACGGTCGGTTCTTGTGGCACTATTATCCTTGCGAGCAGGATCATACCGAAGTCTTTCAACATCTAAAGGACATGATCATGGGCAAGAAATGTTGAGTCATGCTACCAATCACTGGGAATTGCAAGACATGCGCTGGGTGGTGTTGAACATGTAGGATGAACAGACAAGCTATAAGTTTAGGACCTGTAATATTTTCCTCTCAAGTTTTCTCTAGCCGCTCTTTACTATCCAGAATGCTAATGAATACATCCTCATTGACTAAACCCAGGTATTTCTGAGACTTTCATCCCATCAAGAAGCTCGTCATCTTTCTCTGTCGGGACGCCCAAGACCTTGAACACGTGCGGCCATAACGCAAAATCCCAAAGCCAATAGCCCTCCTCGTTCAGATGCACATGGTCGTCAAGCATATTCTTGCTGAACATGTGCCTCGTACCAACCCACTTCACCTTGTCCTCGCGATCCCGTTCAGTCTGAGCCTCATATGTCTGCAGCTCGTGCTCTTTCTCCATATTCTCAACCCGAAGGGCCTCGTTGATCTCTCCAACAACCTCCCTTAGCATCTCATTACTCTGATCTACAATTTCATCAGGTATATCCAGTCTATACGACATATCGCACGCCAACACCGTACTCTCCGGCGCAATCCTCAGACAAGCCTCCACCAATACCCTCCAACTCTCCATATCCTGCTTCCGAAATGCGCGCTTCTTCTGCAGATTGTTCGTCCCGGAAGCCAGGATCCACAGTTTGATGTCGCAGACGTCTTTCTTGGCCGTCTTGAGCATGTCGTAGAGACCCTCTGTGAGTCGGTAGGCGACGTTTTGGTTGCTGTCGCCGCCTACGCCGGCGTTCCATGCGACTCCCGTGTCTCCGAGTTTTCCCATGTCGGTAGTGATGCCGCTGGTCTTGAAGCGCTCGAGCATAGAGTTGCCGAGGTAGACGACACTGATGGGAGATGTGTTTGCGAGGTTTGGTACGGGCGCGTCTGGTGCGGGGGGAGAAGCGTCTTCGCTCGGTGTAGGTAAAGAGGTATCGAGTTGAAGACGCGTGGTAAGTTCTGGTACGTGTACTTGGTGGTGCGTTTGGTGGGAGCGTTCCTTGAACTTGGCGAAAGACCGAAGCTTCACTAGGAACTCGGCATCGGACAGGTGCAGGAAGTTTGTCTTGGCGTCTTTAGGTATGCTGGACGCTTCATCGCTCACTTGGGCGTTGGAAGGCATTTTCAGGTTGAACTGAGATGTTATGGTTTTGCGAGGCTTCAACGGCGCGATGTTTCGTTGGTGTAATTTGTTTAAGTAGAAGTTGCAATGAGAGCAGAATGTACGCGAACCGCTCGATTTGGGTGAGCGTGGGATGCGACTGCTAATCTGTGGTTAAGGGTGGAGAAGGTGACGAATCAGCGCGTAGATATCAGCAATCGTTCCTGCTTGCAGCTAAACTGCGGCAGCAGGAAAGGGCGTCACAGCATCAAGGGCTGATGCGTTGGAGGATCAACGAGAATACCTTCGTAACCATACATCTGGGTAGCGAACTTTATACACCTAGAAGCTCGCTCAATCGCTTGTCAAACATGCATCTCGTCTAGATTTTTTTGGGTCAGACGAAACTTCCCCACGTCCAATAGCCTACCGCTCCATCTTTCAAGTTCATAAGAAGGAGCGCATTATATGTCCACCGCCACGTTGCTACTCCCGAACTGGATAATCTGCCCACCTATGGTGCCCATACGGCGAGTCCTTCGGCCGAGTCGACACGGTCTTGATTGTCACACGGTACTGGTATTGATAAATGCCCGCATGGGCAACACCAGTGACGAACTTCGACCTCTCTGTAACGTAATGAGACCTCTCGTCTATGTCCTTGTCGTCAAATATACAGAAGCGTTGCCATCGTTCTTCTCGAATTCCGTTGGCTTTCAGGTCAAGCTGCTCACAATAAAGTGATTCCACCGCTTCGATATCGACGTCGGTTGATCCGAATGTGACTGATATGATGGTCAGATGGCGCGTGGGAAAGTGAATTGAGCCGAGTTGCTGAAAATACGCCTCGAAATACGACCTCGGGTCGTCGTCGGCTTCCTGGTCGTCGAAGAATAGAGACTCCGGGTCGAGGTTGACCGTCAAAAGGTGTAAGTTCGGAAATGTTGACCCATCCGAGATATCTCTTAATAATTTTAGATGATGAGGTCTGTTATAATCGAGGTTAATCTCGAGACGGCGAACAAGCGGCCTTGCGACAGGTGGCGGACAGTAGCAGATATTTCTATTCGAAGAGGGTGTAGCGTTGGACAGCATCACCGTTCGATTGACCCCATAGAAAGCTTCTAGAACAAGATGCTTGATTTCAGGAACAGAGAGGAGGGGAATCACTGTCCTTTCAGCAACCGCCTTGTCTCATGCGTACCGTACCGAAACAGATCGCGTTCGAAACAGTCTTAGGGATAACAGATATAATAGAGGTCGCAATTATCGAGCCAAGCGCAGGCAGTCACGGCTGTTGGAGTGTGGACGGTGTAGCGCAAGATGAGCAACTTCAGCTCTCCAGAGAGGCTGCGGAACCCTAAGAGGAATAAGTCGGATTCGGTTGTCATATTAGTAGTCGTTATTCTTGGTTAAGTGATAAGACTCGTATCGTGTGAAGGCGTTGATAGTATAAGCGGGATTTATAGTATAGAGTAGTGGCCTCGGAGCGGGACGCAAGGCAAGTACCACCTAAGGTAAAGTCCGTGCACCGCAACTTACCAGGCAGGTGCAGATCTTGTAGGCTCGCGCTTGAATTTAAAGTCTTTTTACAAGGAACTTTAGGTGTGTACGTTAGTAGGTTAGTAAGTTAATAATAGTAGTTTGTTAGGGTTTGTCGGAACAGTCGTCTATATACTTAACCACGGTAGCTAAGGATAACTCTGCAATGAATGCGTGTGGCAGGTGCAGAACTGACATTGTGCAGTGAAACGCTTCCAAGGTTATAAGTGGCAGTGAGACTTCGGTGGGGTTGAGACTAGGTAGGCGTTACCAGTCCTCGTGTGTTTTAACAATGGCTTCTCACAAATACCTCGGCGATACGCCTTCCTTGAAAATATGGTATTGCCGCTCATGATCTGCGCAATGACGACCACATTGTGAAATGCTCCTGGGAAAAATGTTTCTTATCGAAGTTGAAAATTATTGTATATATGACAGTAAAGACGTCACCGCCCATGTCCAGAACGTGCTCTCCGACGACTGAATGGAATTGATGCGCCATGACACCAGCCCGTGTAATCTTTTGAGCCTATCCTCATAGCACTTTCACATGCTCCACGCTTCTGTCACTCTGCCACGACAATTCGGTGCAGTGCCGACAAATGTCCCTCGTCTAAGCAGTCGAAGTGCGCCTCGAAGGAAAAACGCTCCAGAATAGTGGTTCGAGGCCTTGTGGTCTTGGAGACAACTCTCACGCTGTGTAGTGACTCGGAATCGGCGGTCCTGTCATACCGATAATACCACGTTCGATCGTGCGCTCGCAGTGACCGTCACAGCGAGTGCGCTCATGCGCATGCTCGACTTCGACCTGGATGTTTTTGGCCTGCAACAAAAGGCGCGCCCGCCCTGGCAGTCGCTCGAAGAATACATTAGATTCTTCCGGAAGACAGTAAGGCAAGTGGATCACAATGCGGAGTTCTTTCAACGAGGTGAAGTATCTTCCCCAGCCAGCCTTGGCCTCACCGTCATATGCCCACGAGTGCGGCTCCTCGATAAAACAGGTATACCCAGCTGTGAAGGACGCGCGGCGAGGATGAGCTAGGACAGCTAGTTGCGAGCCTTGGCAGCCGCCG